CAAATTTTGTTTACTTTTAATTAAGAAAATTCAACTAAGAAGTATGTTTCAAGTTGTGTGTATTCTATGTCTGGTGTGTGCATGGGGGAGCATAGAGCTATTAAACTGAATGTAAGATAAGCCATGTATTCACCTGGTTTGGCATCATGACAATGGATGATGCTTTTATATTGCTATAGGTGTGTCCTCAATTACAACTTTCTCTGATGATAACATTGTTTTGGTAAGGAAAACATATCAGCAACTTTAAAGCTAAATTAACTGTGTTTCTTTATGTTTTAGCAAAGCAGGTCAAACTATTTCACTCAGTGAACCAACTTAGAAAACTACCCCCAGTTTTACAGGGTCATCCTCTCTCTGGTGCTTATTGGTGAGAATCAGGAATGAGAAAGCTCAGGCAGGTCTCTGATCAGACCTGTTTATTTTGTACAGATGGTGCAAACAAGCAAAAATCGTTGGATTTCTCTTGGGACCTTTCCCTGCAAATACAAAGCCAGGGTAGTCAGTTCCTTCTTCACCCTACTGTCTTACCCAGGTGGCTGGTATACACTGAATACAAGTTTTGCTTGTTACTTGGTCTTGGTCGTGGGGGAGGGGGTTGAACAGGAAATTAAGGAGCTTTATCTGATTGCCTGACCTTGTTTCCATATGAGTAGTGAAGTATCAAGCTAGGCTATTAGTTCTTCTGAATCTTGCTCCAAGAAGATGGACATTATTAAGAGTGCTATTCGGACAAGAACTGTGGAGAACATGAAGGTCAGAGACCTTACTCCATCTTCAAGAACTAACAGAAACAATTTCAGAGGTAAAGGCTCCACATCAGCTGAGTGGACAGTTTCCAAATGGCAGCCAAACAGTGGTGGGTAACTACACAAAGAACCATCACAGCTCCAAGCTAAGGGCTGTGGGAGGAATACACTGTCAGGCAATAGTTTTATATCTTGATATTTTCTTTTCAGAGCAAATCCTAGCCCACCCTTTGGAAAGAAAATGAACAATGTGTTCTCTTCCACACTGTGAAACTCCCTACCATTTACAGAAATAAAGGGAACTTCTTGCTTAACAATGTTGCTGATATAAACAACCCCTCGAGAAATAGGATGATGAATACAGAGCTGGGTTTTTGAGCACTCTGTGCTTACAAAATAGTTTTAAACTTTTTTCTCCTGTCTCCTCTTCCCATGAAATATATGCTGTCCACTTGCCCTCTGAGAATGACTTAGCTGCTTTCAGACTTGGGACCCCCTTATAGCAGGGTGGAGAAGGCAGATGACATGGGTATGCTGGAAAGAAGAGAACTATGGATGTGTCTGGGAGGTGGCTAGAACAAAAAGAAAGGTGAGGAATCTTTGGCCAGCGCAGGGAGCAGAAGGAGAGGGAGCTATGTCTGCTAGTGCCATTCTACTGCCTTTCAGCAAAGGCTTTGAGATGAGAAGCAACCACAACATTGAGAATCAGAGATTTGTTGAGAAGCAAGAGGAGCTTTTTGTCCTACTTTCTGTGGAAGTCACTTCATTTCCTAGAAATTCTCTTTAGCTCCGCTTCATCTGCTCCAGCCACCACCTCCCAGCACATCACTACTCCAGTTTGAGTGGCCTCCTATTGATGTATCCTCCCTTAGGAGGATAGCTTTTCCACTCCAGTGTTGACCTGTCCTCTGTGGCTGTGCTAGAACAGGGAAGGTTCATTTCTTAGTGAGTCCCTGCAAGGAAGCGAGCTCCCCAGCCAAAATTTTCCATGCTCTGTGGCATTCTCACAGTCAAAATGGTGTTTTAAAAGTGGACAGCAGCAGCGGTTTTCCACAGGTATATTTTTCCACTATATTTTCAGGTATAGGTATTTCATAAGGGTAACTAGGAAAAGGTGCATTTCTGTGGAAGAGCTGGTCAGCCTGACTACCATGGTTGTTGACATACTTCCTCAGGTATGAGCCTTCGTCCTTCTGGGCTTGCTGATCATCTCAGAACTCTTCCTAATTATCTCACTGGTGATCAAGGAACCAACAAAGACAGGTGATCTGCTGGACCTGATACTTAAAAAGGAAAAACTGGTGGGTAGTGTGAAGATCAGTAGCATCCTTGGCTGCGGTAATCATGAGATGGTGGAGTTCAGGATATGTGTCAGAGGGGTCGATACTGAGGTCAATACTGTTTAATATCTTCATGAATGACCTCAATGATGCAGCAGAGTGCACCCTCAGCAAGTTCGAAGATGATACAAAATTTGGAGGAGTGGTTCATACACTGAATAGTGATGCTGTCATTCAGAGAGACCTCGAGAGGCTGGAGAAATGGGCTGTCAGGAACCTAATGAAGTTGAGCAAAGAGAAATGCAAAGCGCTGCACCTGGGCTTTGTTGGTGGCCGGCTGATGGGAAAGCAGCTTTGCAGAGAAGGACCTGGGCGTCCTGGTTGACACCAAGTTGAACATGAGTCAGCAGTGTGCCCCTGCAGCACAGAAGGCCAACAGCATCCAGGGCTGCATTAGGAAGAGCATGGCCTGCAGGTCAAGGGAGATGATCCTTCCTTTCTACTCAGCACATCCGGAGTGCTATGTAAGGGGCTTCCCAATACAAGAAACTTGAAATACAGAACCTGACTGGACACACTCCTGGACAACCTGCTTTACTTGACCTTGCTTGAGCTGGAGGGTTGGACTAGACAATCTCCAGAGGTGCCTTCCAACCTCAACCATTCTGTGAGTCTGTGTGATTCTGTTTTCCAGCTGTAAAGTGGGCTGGCATTTGTTTTGGGCAGAAACAAGTGACTGAAAGCTATTTAAAACAAATTTAAATTAAGATAGTGTCTGACCTTATGCTCCTCATAAAGGCTTAGCACATAGAGGCAAGTAACTTACATAGATTTATATGTAGACTTACATAGAGACAAATTCTAGACATGCTGTCAGAACAAAGAGTCTTTGGATACTTCAGCAAGGAGGAAAATGCCACCATATTGGTGAGGGAAAAAGTCCCCAAGCACTTAGCATGGGCACAGCCCTTGAGCCCGTGGTAAAAGTCACTCAGTACAGAGCTGACTTTCACCACGGTCTTCCATGTGTGAGTAGTTGTGGTAGCAATGAAAATTGCGCTTTCATGAGCATTTCAGTGATATAGGAGAGTAAGTCCATTTAATTTTCAACAGGACTTTGAGTCCTTGAATCCCTTCTGAAAACTGGGTGCATATTCTAAGCTTCAGTGTTTCTGAAAACCCATGAAGAGTGATCAGTCCTCCACACTTTACCATGAAACTACTTAATGCATTTTATACTATGCTGTTGGACATTTTATTGACTTGTTCTGCATACACCAGATTTTTCAGCAACAGATGAGAAAAAATTATTAAGTAAGTTCCCATTTGGATTTCCCCAATACAGGAATTCTGGAATTTTAAATACATATATGGCTAAATTTTAGCCCACATATGTTTTTGGACATTTGTATTTGAACAAATGTATTTGAACATTTATTTGAAATGCATTTGTATATTTTAACATGTCTTGCATATTCAGGTGCTTATGCCCTCCAACTCAAATGTTTAGACAATTTAACCACTTTGGTGTAGTATGTATGACCAGTTGAGCATTGTTTGTTACTGACTTCAGGTATCTTGAGATGCTGGCAAAGCACCCTGCTGTGAAGACTTGCAGACCCCTGAATCTATGTTGTCAGGTTTTTATGGGGAACAGTGAAGCAATAAGTATTTAAAAAGTGGTGATAGTTCTACATGAATCAGTGTTGCAACTCCCATCCCAGGGAGGGCTCAGCCGCCTACACAAAACTGAACTTTGTTACCTCTAAGATAGTTGCAGTCTGGAGATGTGGGGAACAGAGATACGCTGTTTGGAGATGCTGCAAAGCAGCCACTGAGCTGCCACTACCAACTGTTTTCTCCCGTGTCGATTGCAAGTGCTCTTGGTTTGTGCCTTGCCAAAAAAAGCAGAGAAGCATGATTCAAGCAGAATTGAGGGCTCAGGCATTTTATTGGCATGGGGAGACTCTTACATCTGTCCTTGTTGGCTGTGTCTTCATCCCTCACACAGCGTTGCCTGTGTCACCTCCCATGTCAAGGTGCCCTCACGGAGTAGGACATCCAGGGACCACAATAGATCAAGGAGATGAGGGTCCCAGATCCATGGGACTGAAGAGGAGTGTATGCCTGTAACATAGAGTGGAAGGTACCTCTACTTCGCACTCCTACCAGCTTCCGGACCAGACAGGGCTCCTCTGCCCTTTCTTTTCCTGTCAGGAGCATGTCCCTTCTTTCCTCCTTCCTCCTCCTCCCTCCTGCCATTGGGATCCAACCCAACATTTCCCTATGTGGCTCTGCCTCCTGCAGGATGGTGCTACCTGAGCTCACCTCCTCCCACAGACATGGCAGTGCCAGGAGTCCAGCAAAGTAAAAGCATGTTGAGGAGCCTGTGCTAGAGAAGATGGGGTTGTCCCAGGTACTTCACGTGCTACGGTGGGTGTTAGCCCTGGTCTTCTCTGTCCTTCCTTGTGCCTTGCCAGGTGCCTTACAGATTTCCCCTAGGTTTGGTGGTCCAGGTCAGGTCACAGCGTGGCACCGGAGGACCCAGAAGGGGGATAAAGCTCCCTTCCCACCATGTATCCCTGTTGATTAGCAGACTGGCAGTGCTCTCACCGCTCCTGGCAGCACTCAGATAAGGAGGCAATGGTTTCAGAACAGCCTATTTTGTTGCCCATTTTCTGTAAACTCTCTACAAAAGAGTCTACAGCCAGTATCCTTTCACTCCAGGCAGCTGCCTGTTTTACCTGGTCTGAGGGTGCTTATGGTCATGGGCTAGGACCCTCCTGCCCATTCTGTGACAACGACTGTAAAAGCTGCACAGACTTTCAGGACTAAAACCATCTCCAGGAGCTGACCCTGGCACTGTGACCTGCTGTGCAAAGCATTTGCTTCTTGCTTTATGAGTAAGTGGGGCTTGGGATTGAGTCAGGCTATGGCTGTGTACTAACCTGGCTGTGCCTTCCTTCCGCAGGGAATGATCTCTTTCTGGTCGCAGTCCATGAGCTGGGACATGCGCTGGGTCTGGAACACTCCAATGATCCCAGTGCTATCATGGCTCCTTTCTACCAGTACATGGAAACACACAACTTCAAACTGCCCCAGGATGACCTCCAAGGAATTCAGAAAATCTATGGTGAGCAACACTATCCACTCATCTACTTACACTGAGCTCAAGTTTAGTGAGTATTATACAGCCACAGACAGGTAGCCCCCAGAATGCTTGCAACTGGTGGGCTGGATTTCCTGCCATAGCTGAATGGGGAACCGTTTAAAGCCCTTGATCCTCAGCCAAATATCAGACGACTGTCCCAGTGGCAATATCTTTGCACAAGTCAGGATAACCAAACCTCTGTGATCTCACTGCTGCTCCATCCCTCACTATGTCCCCAATATCAAGGAGCACTAGAAAGGGAAAACCAGGCAATTGCTGAACCCAAGGTTTGTCCATTAGGAACAGCCAGTGCAAATAGAGGGAAAAATGCGAAGAACATGGAACATCAAGGAAAGGTAAAAAGTATTTATGCACTCATTTTTTTCTCAATATATAGAAGGTAGGGAAAAAATGTTTGGATCTGCTTAGGGCAGACTTTACTTCTTTTAATCTCCAGCTGAATATTGTTGTACAACATGTGCCACAAAGATATGGGCTCAAGGAAGAGAGAGGGAAAAGGAGGCAGAGGGATTATGAGAGAAAACCAAGGGGCTGGAGATGATGTGGTACCATGTGATGGGATCATGGATACCAGGGTGTGAGGGCAGGGAATTTCAGAGAATTGTTGGCTGGAGGAGACTCTGGGAGCAGAGGGAAATGCAGGTTTTAGGAGCCACAATCAAGGGGAGGCTGAGCTAGAAGATGCTAATGGATAGAGTCTGTGACAGCCCGTGGAAAACAGGTTTTGTCAAACATCCCTGATTTCATTCTTTGAGGAAAGTACAAGTTTGACAGAAAGGTTACTTAATAAGTGTAGCATAGAGCAACTATGCTGTGTAGCTATGCACCATTTGCAGCTGCTTGACATCTGGAGTCAAATATTAGCTCCCAGTACCAGTAGAGCAGGTATTATTAGACCTGAAAAAAAAACTTACAAGATGGTTGTCAGTGGGAAAGCTGGTGTTTCTAAGAGATTGCTGCTGGGATCAGTGGCAGACCTGACACTAGTCAGTGTTTGCATCAGTGATCTGCCAGTGAATTTTAAATTACTGCTAATAGAATTTGTGCCAAGACCTATAAGACTCTAAAGCAGTACAGCAAGACTTTAGAGGTCTAAACTGTATGTCAATTGTTTGAGTCTGATTTTTTTTTTTTGGTGAATGGAATGAGATTCATTTGTTCAAATGTAGATGCCTAAAGAAGAGAAATCTCTTTCTAGGCTAGTTTCTCTGATTCCTGTCTGGGCTATGGGAAAAAACAGGCATTTGTAGAGTGCAATTCATCTGCACTGTAAGGCAGATATCCAAGTAAGGTCCAACATTTAAAATAAGATGGCTTGAAGTACACTCAGGGGGAACTGGCTTTTCCCATTAGTGCAGCTGAAGATTTCTCTTTATTGTTCATTACCAGGATGAAGTTGCATGTCAATTGTCTTATGGTATCATTTAATTATGCATACTTTAACATAGTATATATTCAAACACTTAGGATAACAGAGGTTCTGGATGGTTTTGAAATAAAGTGCTGGGGTAGTAAGTATTAAACTTTCATTAAATAATATACCTAAGTTCATTTTTGAAAGCTGCTAAAATGTCATTACGCTGTTTCTATTTTGAAATGTTGATTTAGTTCCTGTGAACTTTGACTAATCAGAAAGAAAAAAAAATCTTAATTTATCGCTGACGGTGAAAGTGCAATCAAGAAAAAAATACTGGTTTTTCTGTTTTCAGATACCTTTTTGGAAAGGGAGCAGATAAGGAATTGCCAGCCATGCTTCTTCACATTTGTGGTTCAAGTCAATATCAGCTGTGGCTGAGCTGGGGACCAGCACTCCCCCAGCACAGCTTGGGCAGGGACCCAGTACCCAGGGCTGAGCTGAAATGGGGCTCCTGAGCCCATGGGTGAGGGTGGAGGTACTGGGTGACGCTGGTCAGGGCCATTAAGAGCTATTGGTGTCCTCAGGGCCCTGACAATTTGTGAGAGCACTGCACGGCCTCTTGTGCACAGCTATGACTGAGCAGAGAGCTCAGTACTGCCTACGGCTTGACAGCAGCACCACTACACTTCCACTTACTTTTCACTTACGCAGTGACATTAAACTTTAGCCACATACTATGTTAAGATTCTCTGTATGCAGTATAATATGCTTAAAATTTTAACTCAGCTTGAAAAAAGCAGTATGAATTAATTACTACCTGGTGCAGGTAGTAATGAGGAATTAGTTTGTTGACTATAATGGAATCACGCAAGGCGGTTTTCTGAGGCCTTTGAACTGGCGTGGGTTGGGGATGGTGTTGGTGGTTGTAGAGATAGCTAGTCCTGCTGGGAGAAGAAGGAGCAGTTTCTGTAGTAGGAGCTTTGATTCCCCGGGTAGAGATTTCGGCCCTTAGCACAGAGTTACGGTCCAAAACCTAAAGTTTAGTTTAAAACTAGGTTTTACTCTTATGGTTCACAAAGAAAAGATGGAAAATGCCTGTTATGTTTCTCCCTGGAACTGGAGATAGGAGAACAGATCCTTTCATCTGAGCTTCCTACAACTGAGAAGGGACTGTTGAAATATCCTTCTTGTAGCTTTAGCAGGAACATTCAACTAATGGGTTTTACTTCCACAGTGCCAATCTGCTTTGTTGTGCCTTGGGAATGCCAAAAGCCCATCTACCAGAGCACCTGTCCAAAAATCAAAACCTGCGGCTTTCTTGCTGCTTTGACATTCTCTACAGTGCAGCAGTATGTGTTCAATACATCTATCTAGGAACCTACTATGCAAAATAAGTCACAGAGCCAGAGCCACTGCCTTGCCTGTAGTATCCTTTTTTAAAAGTAAATTCAATTAAAACTTCCAATTTTTCATTCCACTGAAGTTGCTAGAACAAAGAACAGAGGCTCTACTAAAGCTTAAGTCCATTTTGGCTTCTTCTTTTGAGAATGATGCATTTCAAATGTATTTTTATATTGTATCTGTGTTTATCCCTTAGAAAAGAAATATGTCTAAATCTGTCATATAATGATTTGTTGAATTAGTAAGTTATTTTCTGCTAGATTTCTTTCAAAACTTACCTAAAGAGACAGTAGGTGATGTGAACTCTTGTTTGTGCTTCGTGCTGGTTAGTATAAGGTCAATGTTTAAAATGTTATTTCCACTTACAAGCTAACAATGAAAAGGCCAGCAGCTCACTGTGTGTGACAGAGTAGACTGTAAGACAATTCAGCAGTATTTCATCTTTTAATAGGTGCTTTTTGTAGCATGTTCCTTGACAAAATGAGGGAAATATCATGACTGTTCTTTACATGTCTTTTTCAGAAGGATATCTCCCACTGTACTTATGTGCCCATGTCACAAGTGACATGCCCAGGAAGGAATTAAACTGAAAATAATACCATTATGTATTATATCCTGTTAAGTTGACTGCCTCTTTTAATTTTGCTAGTGTTGAAGTCAGGGCTGCATGCAGCTACAGTGCACATGGAGAGAGGAGACATACTCAGCCATGGCCTTGTCACACAGCCTGAACTGATCATCCTTCAGCACTGGTTCTCCTGTTCTTCATGTCCTGCTCTAAGTACCCTTTTGCAGTAGGCTTGAAGCAGCCTCTCATGTTAGGAGTGACTCTTCTGACACTATGCCTGGGGAGCAGAGGGGTTGATATGATGTGCAGGAAAAACTCATGTCCACACAGATGCTTGGATCTGGTAAACCAGGCCATTACCATCAAGGCCCTTTCAAAGCTTAAGGTCACAAACGAAAGGTCTCCTAATCAATCACTCAAAGATAGACCAAATCGTTAAGCCTGGAGACAACCTCAAGGATGTGGGTCCTCCCAAATCTCGCTGAGGACGTGTCAACCTCACACATCTTTCTGCAGCTCAGGAGAAAAGCTCCCAGTCAGCGTACGTGCTGCATCCCATGAGGGCTGAGGTCCAGGGTGGTCATGAAACCACACCAGCCCCTGGAACTAGACAACACCAGCTCTGACATCCAGGAACAGGGCATCAGCAGGGCACGGTGTCCATGAGCAAATAGCACCTTCTGCTGGCCTCATTACTCCTGTGCAGCAAGCATGGGTTTTATAACCTCCCTCACCTTTTCCCAATGGCAGCCCATAGAGCAATCCCAGATCCTTGTAACCTACATGTATGTGTGAGATGGCTTGTGATGAAACAGCAGAAAGACCTGATGGAAAATGCTCCAGGTGGTGACACTGCATTGTGGGACCATCAGAGCAAACTCTGCCGTCATGCAGGACCTGGAAACATTAGGCATAGGACAGTTTTCTGGGAATGTCCTCTTGAACGTGGGAAGAGAATAGAGTAACATCCAAGATCTTATCTATAGAAGCTGCAAGATCTGAGACTTTTGGATCCATGCCCCATGGTGCTGTGCTCGTAGGAGGGCAGGGGGAGGAAAACGTGTGGCAATAAGAGAGCTGGAGGGATCTGCCCTGGTGCCACATCTTTGGCTTGTTGCAGAGATACCAGACTCCGTCTCTGTGTTGCATCCCTTCATTTGCACCTTTCCTGCCGTCCAGAGACTCTGTTGGACCCAGCAGGAAATACCAGACTCCACCTCTGGTGCATCCACTGAATCTCACCTGCCATATGCCAGGTCTCCATTCCCATTCCTCCGAAAAACAGGCAGGGAGTAACCGCCTGGTTCCCAGTGCTGTCCTTGGGGTCCACCTGACACCTGGAGGACTCTGCCACGACACAGGGACTCACCCATGCCCACATCAGCCCTGGAGCTGCACACATTGGGTGTAAGAGGAGGGAGGTTTGTCAGCTGATGCAGAAACACTGCTTTATGTTATGGCTGGGCATGAAATACTTCTCTCATCCTACAGATCTTTCTGAGTATAAAAAAATGTTCTATTTTGCGGTGGAGCAGATGTCAGGCTTCTTAAAGGTTTTCCAGAGGGGAACTGGGCTGCAAGCACCACAGCTGGAGCATCTTGCAGAGCCCCAAACTCCCATCATTTGCCTGCCTA